GACACTGTCACGGAGTGCCAAGCTGACGACAGTGTCACAGTGTTGTAAGAAATTCTCTCAATGACACTTGATTGCACTGCATTCCTTGATTGTACTCCATGCATAAGAAGCAAACTACTTCATGATCAATACATTTAAAAGGAATTGACTCAATAATCATTAGCACTGTAATAATTAGTAACATATAGTGCAAAAACTAAGAGCCTTTATAGCTTGCGCACTTGCCATTCATGCTATATACTGTAATATGTTGTTTTAACCAGTAAAGGGCTCCAACATACATTAGTATTGGGCGAAGAAAATAAGCTCCTCAAGGCCTTTTGTTATTAGAAAATGTGCAGTAAGGATTTAATCCAGTGTAAGGCAAAAAAATCACAAAGAGGTTTTTTTGACCTCTTCAAAGAAATTGTATCTAAATCTTTAGTTCAAAGAAACACAGACCTCTTAAGTACCCCCTTTACACAGTCTGGATAGATCTCAGAGACTGGGCCCTTCCAAATCCTTGGACAACACTTTTAACCACATAAGACAAGGTCAAGACAAGGAGAAAAAGAGATCCTTAAATTCCCACGCCAAGGCATATTGGTTTTATTGATCTCTGTACAATTTGTAGGAGTACCCAATCATCTTTTTGACAGTTTTATCATAATGTAATGGACTTCACATCACCTTCTTAAACACATTTCGAGGTGTGCTACACTAAATCCAACAAAAGCATCCCCGCAGTCATTCCCAACTTCTTCTTTAATAATTTATTTTAAAGATGCTTGTATTTGAATCTCCTTTACAAATAAGGTATAAAATAGTATTTAGTAACATTATTTATTGTCTCTATAAAAGTTACATTAACAGAAGAAATAACTGTTCTGTATACTTTTCTATAATAATATAAATTGAAAAAAAGTATGAAAAATACAATTATCAACAATACAAACTACCCTTCAGCCTGCTAATCCTAGCTCCTCCTATTTCACACTCTCTTGACATGCTGAAGCATATTAAGGATGTTGATATCATATTCAATACACAATGAAACTGCTTTTAATGTATTGATTTATTTACATGCTCTGGCAAAAAGCCTTGTATCAGGCCTGTACCATTTCCTATAGCTCTTACACACGAGAAAAAAACAATTTAAACCCCTGCATTGATCCAGTCAAAGTGACTGTACATATATTTCACTATCCCCAAGACACCGTTTTTTGTCTCTTAACTTTAAAGGGAAGAAGAAGAAAATAAAAATACAAGCAGTGTCCAACTAAAAGTTGCAGCCTGTGAAGATGGGGCAATGTCCCTTCTATAGAACTCTATTGATCCCCACAGCCCACAGCAGACAAAAAGTGTGATTGGGGAAGGGATGATGGATGCTCCTGCCAATAGCACTGAACAAACCTGTTAGCTAATTGCCACCAAAGACAATTATCCTTGCATTGTTTCATAATGGAAACACATTACAAAACTCTAATATACACACAGGGAAATTTGATGATTTGACTGTGGAGCCATGTGTACTGAATTTCATTGCCAAAGGCCAGTCAGGTCACTGCTGTGAAGAGGGAGAAAAGTATCAGAATAGTAGTCACTCTAACACAACCCTGCTTCTGCCAGCACAGTGAAATACCAGCTCATCTTTTTTTGGCATTCCCTGGCTACACACAAAGCAGTGATATTTACAGCTACTGGAGTGTGCGTGTCAGATTGCCTCCTGAAATCTTTTTTAAAATATAGATGTACATATGCAAAGGTGAGCAAAAAAGCTAGCTAAAACTTTTAGTTTCTCATCCATAGCTTTCTGTTGATCACATATTTAACAAAAGTCTATCCAAACCTAACAAGTATTTACAAGTGTTTATTGCTAAACAGATTTAGCTTCCATTTCACATTGGTGGGCACTGTAAAAGAAAAAAAAACAATACAAGCCATATCCCTTTTAAGCTTTCCATGTAAATGTAATTTGCATAAAAACTGAAGTAATGCACACACTTCTGCTCAAACGTGAACAAATATATCATGCAATAGCTATTTGAAGAACACTAACCAATATTCATATTTATTAATCGTATGTTGTGGTACTTTTATCATGTAAAGTGACCTGAACCACATTTGACTTTTTTTTTCACATTACTATATTATGATTTAACTTAAATCAAAACCCATTACACAAATGTTGACCATATCTTGAATATAATGAGCATCACTTTTGGCTGAGAAAGATATAATATTCGGTCAATGCATGGCCTAAAATTAGCCAGGCAAACCTTAAAAAAAATGTACTTGGATCGATTATTATAGGGCTGACTACACATAACAATATGTAGCTAGGATGAATGTGCAGCGTTTTGAGACTATCTGAAGTATATTCAAACACTCAGTAGGTTAATGCCTTCAGTATTTCAAATCGGCTTCATCTGGAAGGCTACCTGCTTTACACAGCGCCCAGACTACTATTTTGACAAGAACTGGATAGCAGTGGGTCCAAAGCAATCAGAAGGTTGACTTTGACAAATGGCGGTGCTGCGGCGAAGTTGAAAATAACACACATCCACTTTAATCTCTTTCTTGATTAAATCGAAGCCGTACCATTCTGACATCATGTGATTTGCTCATGAAGCATCACTGCAGGTTACTTTAGAGGCTATGTCTATTGAAATGATATTGAATTTTTTTTTTTTCTACGGGAAGTACTTAATTCATTCAGATGAATGATTCAAAAAGGTAACACAGATCACAAAATCATGTATTACTGGCTGAAATTTCAAGTAAAAAAAAAGGGAGAGGAAAAAAGGAAATCACACAGACAAACAATTATGTTCCACTGAGCGGTATTTTTAGCAGGTTCTGTCCTTTCCTATTAAAATGAAGGGGAGAATTTATGCAGAGGCTGCAGTCCAAAGCCTCATCCACACTCCATTGTCAGACACAAAAGGTAAACACACACGGGGTGATAAAAATGCGGAAGATGAAATTGTCTTTTTTTTTTTACATGAGACTAGGCAAATATTTATGGGGCAGTTGATAAACTCCTGCCTAGTAGAACAGCTAGGACTGAGAGCAATTACTCGGATATTCATGACTCACTTTGAATATCACATTGAATATTACTCATAAATCTTTTACAAGCACGTCCCCGGAGCTCACTTAACAGCCAGTTTTAATCATGCAGTTGACACAGGGAAAATAACAAAATGTATTTTTTCTGTGGCAAATTAATTTAGGTTTGTACCTCCTCCTGCAGCACTATCATTTTCAGTTTCTTGATCCTGTTGCATTTTATGCTCTAAAATTGAGGTGTCCTTTGTAAGTGTACATGGGTAAAGAAGGAACATATCTCTAAAAGTGCTCTATATCACAATTCTTGGCCAATTTAAACGTTTTTTTGTTGATGTTTATTTTTTCATGCATTTTTATTTTAACAAAATCTATATCCAGTGATATAGCATGATATTATAATTAAAGTGTATCTTTTTGTGATTTAGTACCTCGGAATGATACTGTTAAAGGTGAGATACCATCTGAAAACATCACTTTTAATAACTACTGCAATCGCTGTCATTAATGCAATAAATACTACTTTATTATATAATCTAATGCTAAGAATATATAATAAACATAAAGATAATGCAAAATCTTAATGTGTTGCAAAGGTTATTAGAAGAAAGGTTGCGATTATGGTCAGGCATTATAAATGTGGCCTAAACAAGGGATGGATTTTAAAGCTTTAAGGTAACAAACAAGCAACAAACCTAGGTCCAAATCTGACTGAAAACAACATTTAGCACAAAGGATGTGTCTGTTATTTAAATTTGGCTTTGAGATGTTTAGCAAGACATCTCATTTCTAAGATTTATACACAATTTTATTCTCTCAGAAAAAATAACTTAAAAGAGGAGAAGGGGGTATAAACAACACTGGTGAAATGAAATAGCATTGATCTAAACAGTAGTTAAGTGGTGGGTGGTCTTTTGAAAAGAGTGCTTAATTGTCATTCATCTACCTCAGGTGCCAACATGGGTCTGGCTCTCATTACGCCTGTTGTTACATTGTGTAGTTCAACGCTGGAAAAGCATTCATTTCAAGGTCCAAGGCATTAAGTCAAACAAAACACAGCACTTACACAGTGCACCTTCCTGATCCTGGAGGTGCCGCTCCAGAATAAGTCGAGCCATGAGTGAAGGAGAGAAGTTCACCTTAAAAAATTAAAAAAAAACATTTAGACATTTCCCAAACCCCAAACCTACCACACATTTCCTAGACACAACACCCTTTTTCCAGCAAATGTGGTTAGGAAAAAAAAATCAATGTGTTCGGTGGAAAGGGGGAAAGTTATTTTGTTTATAGGGAAATAAGTGTTACTTTAATAAATCACTTTTTAAAGTTATCAACATTGCCAGTTCTCATGATCTACATGTAGCTGATGTCTCATGAAAAACATTAATGGCGCATAGGTGTATTCTCATTCTTAAACCTTAACCTATCCTTCAACAAGACTTACATTAATCATCAGTCTGTAAGTCATTATCTGCTTTTACCTTTCTTCTTCATTCAAAGAAGAGATTTCTTACTATAACAAAATAAATTGTTACTATGGAGTCTTCTCATTTAAAAAAAATGCAGGGGGGATGGGATGGTGTTTGCGGTTAATGCGTGGTTGTGGTTTGCTTTTAGAAAGCACATCGCAGTTACCTCTTAAACAACAAACCATTTATAATTGTATATTTGTGAACACTAATTCTTTCTTTCTATTTTTGGACCATCAATTTCAAAATCACAGATGTCTTAGATTTTGGGGATGCATCTGTACTGTCGAGACTTTTTCATACAAAATGTGTCTACGCCTTTCACTGCAGTTGGTAAACAAAATCTCATTTCATGGTATGTTTGTATTACACTGTTAGTTTGGTTTAATCTCAGAAACAAAACGCAAACATTTTTTTTTCAAAATTAAGAATGAAAGGTTTTAATGTTTACAATTGTGTTTTAAGCAGACTTCCTTAAGCCTAAGCATACAATAGGCATTGTGATGGAAAAGCTAAAATTTTAAAAACATATCTTCAACAAACCTTCATGTAATAAAATAAAAATAGCATGGTCTGCCTGTACACACAGATTGCTGCTTTTACTTTATTTCACTGTAACAGATACCAAACACTGATCTGATTTACTGTTTTTATAAGACTTATCACAGCTACAAAATGCAGGACTTTAAATATCAAAACACCTAATCATTTCATGACTAGAGTACATAGGCATGTTTTTATATTTGAGCCATTTTTCTTTTGTTATGAAATGGGAATTTAAAAGCTTGGAAACATTTTTCTCTTGTTAGCATAATTGGGGCTCAAAACTGAATTTGCCTTCAGCTTATTGCAAGATTGTAGCTTTTTATCTCTGCTGTGATCCTTTATAGTAAAGCTGTGAGCAGAAAGCGCTCCACACAAAGATTTACTGGCGGTAATATTTGTTAACATCGCCATAATTCTGCATACAGAACACAGCCTAGGAAGACCAAAGATGTCTATAATTATTACGCATAAAGACAGTCTTTATCTTCATTAAAGAGCATTGGCTTTCTTTGTAAAAGAATTCTTCCTATGTAACCTGCAGGTCTTTTACATTTGAGATTTATCCTTGAATACCATTAAAATCCCCAAGTAGCAAGAGCTGCGTATTTTCAGTAACCCACATCAGAGTTGACACATGAAAAATGGTGAAATTACTGAAGGTAGTCCAGCCTGAATAAGGACTACCTTATTAGTTCAGGTACTTGCATCTCCCTAATTTTCATATTAATCATGTGTCCATCTCGCTCAGAAATAAGACCATCATGCTTTACGTCAGAATTTAACATGTAAGTAAAATTTATAGGGCTTCAAATCCCTTCTGAAAATAATTGTACCAAAAGACAACTAAGATCAGTTTTATTATCCCCAATGCAAATGAAATATAAACCAATGTATTCCTTTGCTTTCACTTTTAATGTGTTATCTAAATGCTGTGAATTTATTTCTGACCTTCATATTAAATACTGTCTTAGAATTAAAACCAGCACCCTTTTAAAATTCCTCTCAGATAAAACATCTCTATGCAGCAGGATTTAAAAATTATTATATTTCTCATCATTTTTTATAGTTTTCCCCTGTTGGAGATATATTGTCTCATAAAGTGCCACCACTACATCAATTAACTGTCAGCAGGCTCATGAGTGCTTTGTTTAAATGTTAAGTAGCATATTAAAATGACAGTTAAATGGTTCATAGACAGTAATCTTGAGGTTGATTTTAATTCTAAAAAAATCTTCATAAGTCAATTAAAAGGAAAATTAATTATTTTAGCAAGCTTTAAGTTGCCAAATTATATATTATTTTGATATTCAGAAAATATAAATAGATTGTATTTTATGTTCAGTTAACAGTAAAAAAGCACTGTATTTTATGTTCAGTCAATCCAATTCTTGTTGTGAAAATGAAAGCATGTAGTAACTTGTGGGATAAGAACCTTCTTTGCAGTAACCATCCAGAATATATTAATCATCACAATTTCTTTATCTGATCACTAACTCATCTTTTTCTGTACTGCTGCAAATTAAAGAGTTATTCTAAAGCACATTTTTAATCCAGCTGCAGTAAAAGTACATATAGGAACCACTATGACCACTGATATCTTTTGGCTAATTTCCAGTAAAATGGATTAAACCCAGTCTGAAATCAGATCTAACGTTTTGCAATTGACATTTATTTTCCTGCTTGCCTTAGTATTAATGGAATAAACATTTAAATGCATTATGTCATTATTGGAATTAAATTACAATTTCATTTTATTTTTGTAAATTTCACATTATTAGGCAGTCTGAGGTAAACTGCCTTTTGTACATTAACTGCATTATCAGGGTTTGCAGACCCTTCATAGCCCATTAAAGCCTTTGAGTAACTGAACGTTAATTGTTCATTTGCTGACTGCAGCAATGCACAGGAGACGTGAGCTGAGGGAGCCCATTCATTCTTATTAATGTAATATGTAGAACTTGCCACTGCAACACTTAATGCTCACAGCACCAAGCCATTTTTAATACAAACACTCATTTTCCTGCCTCCTGTCTTATATAGGCCACTATAACACAACATTAAAACAGTATATACTCTAGGGCATGCCCCTGATGGCTGTATAAGCAATTCTGGACCTTATCCAATATTATTGAGCTAAATATTTTACGGTGCACCAAGAATACAGAGATTGAACATCACATACATTTGTTGGTTTGTTTTCTTTAATTGGAGTTAATTCCCAGATTATCACCTGGAATTAAAAATCAAAACAATTCTGCAAATGAAATGTACTGTTCTGCCCTTATAACTCCATGTTATGAAAATACATTTCTAATGTTGCACTACTAGGAGGATAAAATTGTTCAGTGATATCATTTATTTTTAATGTTTATAATTTTTCTGAGCAGAATTCTGCCACTCATACTTAATCCTGGATACAACAGAACATTTCAAACTT